CAACTTTGGTTCCGAGCTTGCATCTTATATATTGATCCTATAACTTGCCACTTCATAATTCCCTCGCTTGTTGCTGTTGTTGATTGATTGCATCCTCGTGAAACCTCCCGGCAAATGTGTCGGATCACCTTCAACACTTTGACTTCTTCCGAGATGTCAACTGTGTTCATGATGAGAAATGTTCTGGGGGGTGGGCCCCCCTTGTCATAGGCCCCTGGGGCTTAGCGGGCAGCGGCCGCTAACGGGCGCTGCGGACGACGGGACCCCGGTGGTGCGGGCGCAAGCGTCGGGTGCCGGGCGCCAGGGCGTAGCAGCGGGCAGCACGGGCGAAGGGCGGCGCCGGCGGAGGGGCGAGTGGCGTGGGTAGGTGCGGCCAGCGCGCACGAACAGGGGCGCGGGGGAGGTCGGGCGCCAACGCGGAGGCAGCCAGGGGCGGCCCGGCGTGGATGGCCGCGGCAAGAGGTGACGGTGACAGGAGATGGGCGCGAGGCAGGGCTGCAGCAGCAGTGGTGGAGGCGGAGGCGGGACCGGCATGGCCACGGCATGGCGGGTCAGAGGCCGGCGGCGCAGTTGGGTGACGCAGGCGAGGCACAGCGACGGGCACGCGGGCGCGTGTGAAGGAGCTTGCCGGGGCGGTCGGGAGCGGCAAGGAGGAGGGCCGCGGGCGCGATCAATGGTGGTGGCGGCAGCGCCGCAGCACAACAGCAGCTGCTGCAGCTCCCGGCGGGGAAGGCAGGGCGGCGGGGCAGTCGACGACAGGCAGCGGCGACGACGAGCCAGGCGAGGCGGCCATGAAGGAGAGCGGTAGAGGAGATGGGGGAGCTCACAGGAGGAGTTGTAGGGGCACAGGGCAGCGGTGCTCGGGGTGGAGAATGGGGACGTCCGGCGACGAGGGGCGGTTCGACGATGGGGCGGCAAGGTCCAGGGTGACGGGGCGACTTCGGGCGAGGTGGCGGGATGACGGCGACGTTGGGGCGATCCGGCGAGGGGCGGTCGAGGCG